GGATTGGCAATAGATGTTAGCTCAGAGCTGGTCTTCCTCAGCAAAAAGAGGAGGATTAGTGTGGATGTTAGCTCAGGGCTGATCTGCCTCACAAAAAAAAAAAAGAGGAGTATTTGGATCTATGCTGCTGTTGATAATGTCCTGACATCCAGCAAGAAGCACAATCCAGCGACCTCTTCTAGACCATCAGGGATGGGGGACAGAGCAGGACAGAGGAAAGCGCTGGGAGCACAGCTGTCCGGGCTGTGGGGGTGGGCTTCTCTCCTCTCACACCATAGTTCTACAGACAGTCAACCTGAGGCTCACAGGCGGGCACCAGAAGACCCACGAGTCCTCTGACACTTTCATCAAACATGCAAGCCAGTCGCTGTGTGTACATTCTTCTGGAAGGAGGTTCATGGCTTCCAATGAGTCTCAAAAGGCTGTGACACAAAAAGAATCATTGCTCTAGACCTGCCCTGTCCAGTATGATAGCCACTAGCCACATGTGGCTATTTAAGTTTAAATTTACATTAAACGTTCAACGCCTCAGTTACACCAGCTACATGTCGAGCGCACTCAGTAGCCACTACCTGTAGGACAGCCCAGAGACAGAACGTTCCATCATCATCAAGTTCTACAGAGCTTCTCATGTGGCAGCCTTACTCCGGATCAGTGCAGGGACAAGAGTCATTTGAGTCACGTGGTGCTTTAGTAAAACGCGTTGCCATCATTTGTAAATGAAAACACAGACATCGGAAATCCTGATTTCTTCTGGGAAACGGGACTATCTGCGAGCCTGGGGCCCGCACTCCTGGCAGCTGGAGTGCACGGGTCGTTCATTTAGATGGTCCCTGGTCCTCTAAAGTCATCTGCTCGGCCCTCTTCGACATCTGAGTTTGGACCCTCATTTCTAGGCGACCTCCCCCGCCCGGGTCTCCTGTGTTTGTAAGCAGACTCCAAGTTTGGGTAGGTGGGGGTGAATTTTGTTTAGGAGCACATCTTGGGGCCGAATCCGGGGCCGAGATTCGGCTCCCGGCTGGAAGTTGGGGAGGGGCGGCGCCTCCCTCCTTTCAGTTCTGCGGAGCTGGGAGGAGGGAGGGGAATTCACCCCGCACATCTGTTGCTTGACAAAGAACTTCCCGGTTCCTGTGGGCCCTCCAGTCCCGGCCCGCGCCGGCCCGCCCTCCGGAGATGCGGGGAGGGGCCGCGCGAACCGAGGCGCGCCCCCCACCCGGGCGGCGACGTGGCTGCTCGGCCGGCCTCC